GGTAAAGAAGAGCCATTTAAAATGGGGAGCAAAATTTCACTGTAAACAACAGGAAATGGAAAGTTTTGATTAGCACAATATTTGATGGAAAAGAAACAAGAACATGCATTTGATTTGATATTCTACCAAATTTTGATAAGAGCATTTTTCATAGGAAGGGGTATTAGATAGATCCTAAAATTTATGACAAAGCCTAAAGGATCAAAAATAGACAAGACAATTTTGTAGAAATTATTTACTTTAAAGCTATAATAATTAAATGAAATGCCATCACAATTCAGAAATCACAGAGATGAGTAGAATTGAACAGAATTAAGAAGCAGAAGCAAAACTATAACGGAAACTGGTATATGACTGAGATGGCAATAAAATAAATGAGAAAAGAGTTAACTAGTAAATGACAATGAAATATGTAAAACAATGAGAGGCCGCTTCACATAATACAGAGATAAAAATTTCAAGGTTTAAATGGCCTGGAAGCTTTATTCACTAAAAAAATTAGATTGCATGGGAAACTTGAAGATTAAGAAAAATGTAAAGTGAAAGAGTAGTGAAATGCACTCCATGATTATCAGATTAGCCAAAAGTGAAACATCTAACTAATAGCAGGCACAGTAGGAGATTTGAGGTACAAGTAACTCCAGCACAGTGCTAGAGTTTTGGGTATCTAAAAAGATATAAGCACTTCAAAGTGCAGCTTGCAAAATGCAGTGGAGTTGAAGTAAGGGACAGATGTTGAGGTAATCTTATCTTATAACCTAATTATGTACATTTTTACAAAATCTTTCCAACGATATTCCCTGTAATATTTTTTACAATTGCAAAAGGCAAAAACATTGTACTGCCCATCATTGGGAAATATTTAAACTCTGATATATAAAGCAAAGAAATACTATACTAAAATGAACTAACTAGCTCCACAATTAAACCAACATTGAATGGAAAAATAAATCACACATCTCTATTGACATAAAAATGTTAAGTGAGGGCCTCCCTGGTGGGCAAGAGGCTAAGTTGCAGCACTATGAAGCAATTCACAGCCATGGTAGCACAAGTTTGACCCCCGATCAGGGAACTGACTGACCTCTCCTGTCTTGCCTGCTGTATATTTCAATACTCTCCTTGTTCTGCTCCCCACTCTGTGTCTGGTGAATCCTTCTCACCACATGCACACCTCTGGTGCATACCCCAGTTCTGGTATGCATAAATAAATCTTTTTAAAAAAATTTTTAATGAGACATTTTATTCAATGGGTACACATTCAGTCCAGTGTTACAGGCTGCGTAACACAAACCCAAATTCTTATCTTTCACTGCCTCTTCCTTAGGACAGGATTTTCTATTTATGGCAATTAGAAGTAATGCTTAATATTCAAGGTACCTTCATTACCTTCAATGCCTAATATTCAATGCTTAATATTCAGTACCTTCACCTATAAAATGGGAAAGCCACCCTCCTCTTATAATGACTATTGTATGGCTGGACAGATAGATATACAGTGTCCAGCACCTCACAAATATTAGATAAATGGGTAGATAGAGTACAGCACATTGCATGTACTTAAAAATTTTAGCAAACATAGGCATACTAGAAAACTATAACCAACTCAACAGCATCTCTGCCACTATGAGATAAAAAAGGGAAAGATGATAGACATGAAAGAGGAAGGAGAGAGGGTGAGTGGAACCACCCTCTACCCAGCTGGATACAACACCACATCCCAGGGGTTCCCCTTGATGACAGCCACATTGTAGAATACATAGGCATGTCAGCAGCAATCTGGCTGCCCCTAGTTCTGGTTATTCTCCCCAGTTCACCTTGGAGAGTGCACTGTGAAAACAGAGAAGCCTTTCTCTCATTCTTTTGGGGGATTTGCTGTAGGATGAGACCAAAAGGGTCATCATAGCACACCAAAACTGGCTTATCAGTTGACCCTCTAAATTTTCAAGGATATACCTCAGCTCCATATTGCTAAAGAGAAGTAACAGTCTGAACACCACCTGGAATAGAATTCTATCCATGGATTTCATAGCACCTGCCTGGCACACACTGTAACAATCACAGTGTTTGTAAATCACTTTGGGGGGCATGGAATTGTTTGATTTGATTCCTGGATCCCTTCATGAGGACTTGAGAATGAATAGTGGGGCCAGCAAATGTGATGCCACCATGTGGCAACAGAACTAATTGTTTATAACTCACTCAACTTTGAAATTCTGTGGTTCTCCACCAATTTTTAACTTGAAGGAACTCAAAACATTTCCAATTTATTCATCTACTCATTTGTATTTTGATATCATACAATTTCAAGTTTGCATTATTTAAATACATTCTGTGAATAAGTGGATCTCCATTTATCAGTGTACAAGCTGCTATATGGGGGACCAGCTTGTCAGACACCCAAGAACTCATCATCAGGCTGTGGTAGGGACAATCAGCTCATTCTCCACCCAGATTAAGGCCTTCCTGGTGGCTTACGGGTTAAGTTTCAGCAGTATCACCTCCAGAGCCTCCATCTCTGGCCAGGGAGGTGACCCACATGTGGTGTAGCAGACCTCTCCTATCTCTCTCACTGCTCCCCTCAGCAGTGTATTTCAGTGGATCCACCTGTTCTGTTTCCCACTCTGTCTCTGGTGAATCCTCTAGCCCCCCACACCTCTAGCACATCCCACCAGTCCTTCTACACAAAAAATAATTATTTTTGAAAAGGCCATATTCTCCCTTCTATCTTTCTGGACTGGCATAGGTCTGAACTTAACACTAAGTAAGGTAAACTACCTTTGGTTTGCATTCCTAAAGAAGGGAAGTAGAAAATCATCAAGTAGTTTTGTTTTAGCTTTGTGACACAAATGATGAATAATAATAGTAATAAAAATAAAACCCCTGACAAAACTAAGTAGTGTGATGACTATCCTTAGGGGGTAGAGCTTAACCTGAGCACTAGTTTCACATGTGTGTTTGGTTTGTAAGAATTTGCTGAATGTACACTTCAGACCTGTGCACTTTTCTGTGATTGTTACACTTCAACGTAATTTCAAAACAAAGATCTGATAAGTCATCTTTCCTTAATTTGCCTTTGAGACAAACACTATGCAGATTATAAACACAAAGGCAAAAATAGAGGGCTACTAAGTTCTTTATGAGGTATTTTACTGCCACAGATAAGCCCTCCTTCCGTCTGTCTGGGCTGGAGGAAGGAGACGGGTGGAAGACCCTGGAGGAGGCAATTCTCCCTCCCCTTTCACACAGAAAACCTAGACCACAAAGAAATCTTGCCACAAAGAGATGCACACCTCTTCTACAAACAATCTTGCACCTCACACAGAAAACTCTTACGCATTGACACTGCTCTCCCACCCCACCAGAGACAAGCCTCAGCTCCACAAAGACAACCCCCAGTCCCACAGAGACAGCAAACTTCCCACCCACAGGGGTACATCACAAATGGGGGGAGGGTGGTGATGACCATGCAAGGTACTTGAACAGGAAGCTGGAAAAGTGGTTTTTTCAAAGTCATAGCAAGCTAAATTTCTCCAGAGGGGTGGATTTTTACAACTGTGAATAGGTTTCGAGACACTGCTGTAAATATTCTTTAAACCATTTCTATTCCCACCCACTGCTGCAAATCCTCTTGGATCATCTTCTTTATACTTTCACATCTGGCATGTCCTAGCTGTCATGGGAAGACTAAAAGGCGGGATTTTTTTTTTCCATTTTATAGGTGAAAAAGTCGAGATGAAATGTATTTCTCAGACACACAAAACTAAGCAGTCATCTCTCCGCTGCGTTGGGATGGGGGAGGCTGAGAAGGAGGAGCTGCAGAGAATGTCAAAAGAGGAAGGGAGACACTCTCTCCAGCCCAAAGCCCCTGGACACCGCCCACAGTCCCACAGGAATCACCTCAAAGGATCTGGAGGAAAGGATTCCCATCAGCAACATTTACAAACACTGGGTGAGACTCCACCCTCCCCTGGGAAACTGTGAAATAAGTCCAGACCACCGGTAGAGAGAGGGGGGCATCAGAAATGAATCCAGACTCGTGGCATGTCTATCAGCAGAGGGAGGTAATGCTAGGAACCCACCCCTAAGGCACACCCGCTTCTCTGAGCGATTTCTGGGCCCAACCTGGTGTGAGCTGCTAGTCTCCCCGGACACTTGCAGTCAGATAGAGCTTATTGGGAAGAAGCTAACAGGGCAGAGGAGATTTAAAAGCAGTGCTCAGTACATTTCTCTACCCTCCCTTGACGTTAGTAACTTGGGTGACAGGGGAAAGAAGAGGTGCTCCAAATGCTGCAAGTCCAAGGTCCCCACCACGGAATCCGTTTCGCACTCTCAGGGTGCCCCGCGGCCAACCCCCAAACCTCTGTAGGTTCCCCTAGGATCCGCTCTCACCCTCACCAAACCCAGCGGAGTTAGGGACAAACGGTACGAGTAGACCCGGGTGAAGCTTAAGTGACCCACCCTCCCCCGCAACAGCGCGCCCCTCGGCAGGCAGTCGGAGGACCCTGCCGGGAGCGGCTACTCGGGTTCCTATTCTGCGCGCGGGGCCGTGACCTTGACGAGTCCCTGAATAGCCCCATTTTGCAGAAATTGAGAGTCTGAAAGAGTCAAGGCGGCCTCCCCGGGCTGCTGCGGTGCGCTTACCAGATGGTCTGAGGCGCCCCGCCCGTGCGCGGGTAGCGTAGTAGGTGAGCGGCGAACCGCAGCCCAAGCGCTACGTGGCCGGTGGGGAGCGGAAAACGCGAGCCCCAGCGCCCGCAGCCCGAGCAGGGGGTGGCTCCGACTCTGCAACAAGCCTCTCGCAAGTTCAATGACCACCGCACCGGCCTCCCCGCGCCGCTCCGCTGAGGCTGACTGGCCTGCCGGGGACCCGGGTTGAGGGCGCGCACGGGATGTGGGGGGACGTGAAAAACACCTCCACCACACACCCACCCCCGAAGTTGCGGCAATGTGAGGAGGAGAGTGGCGCACAGCGGCCTCGGGGAGGGGACGGTACTCACACGGGGTGGCCAGGCTGGAGTAGGTCCGTGACCCGGGTCATCGATGGCGGCCCGACTCAGGCCACCGCGCCTCCGGATGCCTGAGGCACCTGCCGCAGCGCCGCGCGCAGAGGAGAAGGCAGCGAGCAAGGAAACTGGGGTGCGGGTCAGTCGCCGCGCCAGATCTGAGCTGCAGCGCCGCGGGGGCTCCTCCGCCG